CCTGTTCATCAACCAATGGGTGGATCTTTATCCAAATCCCCGTCTTCGGCATCAATAGCATCAACCTCAGTTTCGACTGTCGTTTCATCTTTGGAGTCCAGTCGAGTTAAAGCTCTGATGCGGCAATTGAGTCAACGAAGTGAAGAGAAGAAGAGACTGGACTCGAATTTGCGGGATTTGTCGCGAAAATTGTCTGACCAGCGAAAGGAAGAGGCGAGGATGAAGCGAGAGTTGACGAGGAAGATGGAAGAACTCAAACGATTGACTGCTGTTGAGGCAGAAAAGATGAGCAAGAAGTTCTCTGGGGAAATTGGGCAGTTAGTGAAAATCCGAGAATTGCAGAACCGCAAAATTTCCAAACTGGAGCAAGAATACACTAGGTCTAAAGAAATGCTGAAGAAGAAGGAGAATGAGTTGTCTTCTACGAAGAAGCAGGTCTGTTTTCCTCGGGATATTCTTTTCGTGAAGACGAAAAATAAGTTATTCCACTCCATTTTTTTTTATAAAACGACGGACAAAAGTTTCAACTTTTTATTTATTTTGTCATTACTATGGTGGTCATATCCGTGAATAAGATTTTTGAACTGTGCATCTTTCAAAAGTGTATGGAATAACTTTTGATTATATGTATTTTCAGTCTGTCATCTGCAATTGAAAATTGATACAAATTTAAATTTGTGATTAATTTTGTTTAAGAGTAACAAATCTTGTCGCTGAATTTTCATACAAAGACTGGTTTTCTTCTCCAGATTTCTTAGTTTGTGACTCCGCAAAATATTTTACGTTTCGAATAGATGTCATTGCATGATTAAACCCATCCAAACTGGCTTTTCCTCCCGTTTAATAATAAAAAAAAAATCGCGCCAAAAGATTTTGTGTACAAAAAAGCAAAATTTCAGAGATACTGTATGGAATGGAAATATGGTAAAATTATTTCTAATTTTAATTTTGCTGTGTATTTTTTTGTCCTTCGCGAGATTGTAAGGGTTATATATTTTTGCCAGGGGATTTCAATTCGTCGATTTCTTGCCTCGTTAATTTTTGCGTCAAAAATTTTGCAGGTGAAGGAACTGATGATCAAGCGTCAGATGGAGGACAAAAGAGGTGGAAAAGCTGCGTCTAAACGGCCGAAAAAGCCAGCAACAAAAGAATCGGTGTGGAAAGAAATGTCGGAAAGTTTGTCAGAAATCGCAGTGAAGCGGGGTT